GGAGGTGGTAGATGCTCCTTCGCTGGACGTTTTCAAGCGGAGGCTGGATGACCATCTTTTGGGTATGTTGTAGGTATGTAGGGCTATCTTTCGGCTAGGCTCCTGCAGAGTGCAGGGGGTTGGACTAGATGACCTGCAAGGTCCCTTCCCACTCTAACAGTCTATGACTCTATGATTCCTACCAGGGGGTTGGGCCGGAACCTGTAGGCCAGCATCATCCTCTTGCGGAATGCTTCATACTCATCATCCTCTTTGGACAGGTCAGCGGGGCGATCGATACCGAAGCCAGCCCCGTCCACCGCCGTCACTCCCCTGTTTTAAGACAGACCCAGGCTGACTTTTACCCTCTGCCTGCCCTGCATCTGGCAGGGGCGGAAAGAGTTAAGGTTGGACAAAGGGACACAGAGGTATGCAGGGAGGGGGCATGCTTGTGGGATCTGCGCACACGCAGGCCTGCCGCGGAAGATTTTTTTCCTAGCTTGACAACTAGTAGGAGGAGCTTCCCCTGTGCGCGAATGACAGCGCTTCCCTCCAGTGAGGCGCTATAAAGGGGAAAGCTCCACCCCCAGACAAGTTCTTTCCTTGCCGCCGCTTGGAAGTTCCCTGGCTAATCTTCACAGTACAATTCCTGTCAGAATGCCTTTATTCAAGAAATACGCCCAATGTCCCACAAAAACGACACAGACAGACGGCCATGACTTGTGTCTTGTCTGTCTGGGTGAAGGACACAATATGGGTTCATGTTTGATCTGTTTGAGCTGCGGTGGCTCAAGTGATTAAGACGCTGAACTGCAGGCTGTGGAAGGGCGGTACTTCAGCAGTTCGAGACCCGAGCTGCCGCATGACGGAGTGAGCTCCCGTCTCTAGTCCCAGCTCCTGCCAACCTAGCAGTTCGAAAGCAAGAAATTGCAAGTAGATAAATAGGTACCACTTCGGTGGGAAGGTAACAGCATTCCGTGCACCTTGGTGTTGAGTCATGCCGGCCACATGACCACGGAAACGTCTTCGGACAGCGCTGGCTCTTCGGCTTGGAAACGGAGATGAGCACCGCAACCCTAGAGTCGGATTCGACTGGCTTTCGAGCAAGGGAACCTTTACCTTTTACAGTAAAAACTGGGGCATTTGTTCATGTCTTATGGCTCTCAAACATCTGATGTTTATTCTGTGTGGCTCTGATGTTAAGCAAGTTTGGCCACCCCTGACCTAACGACACGCGACGGCATGAGTCAAAACCCCGGAACGGAATCCTCACTTGTTGACGGGGTTCTTGATGCCTTGGCCTTCGGACCCCAGACCGTCTCCTTCCTTCCAGCCCATTTTCATCAGCATCTGGTAGCCGATGTTCTCCACCGTCAGCTTGAACTCCTTGTATTCCGAGTAGTCGGGCTCACGTCCTTCCTGTGGGGCGAAAGGGGCAGAGGGGGAGAAGGTGTTCATGACCCACTGGATACAACTGCCCTGACCTGGATAGGACCGGGTACTCTGGTCTCGTCAGATCTTAGAAGCTAAGCACGGTCAGCCCTGGTTAGTAGTACTCGGGATGGGAGACCGCCAAGAAATCCCGGAATCTCTAGGCAGAGGCGAGCACTGGCAAACCACTTCTGTTCACCTCTTGCCTGGAAAACCCTATGGGGTCGCCGTTAATCAGCTGTGACTTGAAAGCACCTCCCACCACCAGATATAGCTGACCAGGCTGAAGATTTGAAGCCGGGCAGCAGGGTGACGGGAAGAAGCTCAGATTGGAATGGGCAAAGGCGGCTGTTAAAGAAGACGAAGAAGAAGAAGAGATTGGATCTATACCCTGCCCTTCACTTGGGAGTCTCAGAGCGGCTTAACACACTCCTTTCCCGTCCCCCTCCCCACAACAGACACCCTGTGAGGTAGACGGGGCTGAGAGAGCTCTCTTGAGGACTGCTCCTGAGAGAACAGCTCTGAAAGAACTTGTGACTGACCCAAGGTCACTCCAGCAGCTGCATGCGGAAGAGTGGAGAATCAAAACCCGGTTTTCCCAGATTCGAGTCCGCGCACTTAACCATGACACCAAACTGGCTCTCCGCCCTACCACGACCAACAGATGGCAGAGTACAATTTGGGTCTGTGTTTTCAATGCTTGGGACGACAGGCCTTGGGATGAAGAGGCCATCCTAGCATTTGCTCCTTACCTTCTCTAACCTTACCGAACCTAGCTACCTGAACACTTGATAGCCCTGCTGTGCCAGCTATCCTCTTTATGACGCTTCTGCTGCCTCTAATCCCCGACCTTGGCTTGCCTGGCCCCTTCCCAACCATGGACACACCCCTTCTTGGATCACCTGACCTGAGTATCACAATGAACAGTGAACACAGAGGGCCCACACACGTGTACGGGACAGAAGGAGAACAGTGAAAGCGTCAGCAACTGCATGGCATCAGAGATACCCTAAAAAGGGTGACCTAATTCACTCACACACACACACACATCCCTTAAATTCATGGCACAGGTGAATGTGTCAACCGACTCCACTACAAACATGGAGCCTGAGGAGATGCAAATGTCTTATACAGAATGTTGCTTTGTTATTGTGCTGGGACTTAATTTACGATCTTCTCCTCAACGGTACGGGCTAGAGAGCCTGCCGTCAAGAAATCGGCTGCACAGCTCAGGGCAATGTAGAAGAAGAAGAGAAGAAGAGATTGGATTTATACTCCGCCCTTCACTACCCAAAGGTGTCTCAGAGCGGCTCACAAACTCCTTTCCCTCCCCCTCCCCACAACAGACACCTTGTGAGGTCAGTGGGGCCGAGAGAGCTCTCTCATGGACTGCGCCTGAGAAGAAGAGGAGATTGGATTTATACCCCGCCCTTCACTACCCAAAGGAGTCTCAGAGCGGCTTACAAACTCCTTTCCCTTCCCCTCCCCACAACAGACACCCTGTGAGGGAGGTGGGGCTGAGAGAGCTCTTGACAGAAACGGCTCTTTTTTCAAGAACAGCTCTTATCAGAACTACGGCTTGCCCAAGGTCATCCAGCCAGGTGCAAGTGGAGGAAGTGGGGAATCAAACCCGGTTCTCCCAGATTAGAGTCCACGCTCTTAACCACTACACTAAACTGGCTCTCCATGTACACCAATCTACACCAGCCCTTCCCCCTGGGATCAGGGGTGGGGCCGTGGCTCAGTGGCACAGCCTGTGCTTAGCATGCAGAAGGTCCCAGGTTCAATTCCCAGCATCTCCACTTAAGGATCAGGTAGTAGGGGATGTAAAAAACCCGCACCTGGGACCCTGGAGAGCGGCTGCCAGTCTGAGTAGACAATACTGACTCTGATGAACGAAGGGTCTGATTCCGTACAAGGCAGCTTCATGCAATCTCCAGGCTGCCCTTTTTCTTTGGTCCCTTGACCCCTCGCTGCCCTGTCTCTCGGAAGCCCTTCCGTGCTAACGGTTTTGAACTCCGCCAAAACGAAGCGCGGGGCGGCAGAAATAAAGCCTAGGGAGCGGCCTCACGTTGCGTCAGGCCGAGCGAAAGCAGCGATGCTTTACCTTCAGCGCTTTGAAGGTCTCCATGAACTTCTCCAGCTCATCTGGCGGCAGGAAGTCTCCGATGAAGTGCTTCCCTCGGCCCATCTGAGTCAGCTGCTCGGCCCACTCTGAGGAAGACGGAACGAGACAATTTATTTACTGATTTGGTTTTTATGCCGCCCACCCTGCCGAGGCAGGCTGAGGGCGGCTTACGTTAAAAGACTAAAATATATTAAAACACAAGTGCTTGCTAATACAGTACAGCGCCATAAAATACAAAAAGCGTAGCAAATCAGAGTACAAGTAAGATAAAGCGCTGGTACCCGTAACGTCCCCATGGCCACGGTAGGATGGCCCGAAGTATGGCCCCCATCACTTGTCCAGCCCAACAGCAGTTGGTGTTAAAATAAAAGGTCCCTTGACAATCCAGTTGGCATTGCTGGTGTTGCTAGTGCTAGGGTTGTTCATGGCGGCTCCTAATCGAAGGCCTGGTGGAAGAGCTCCGTTTTACAGGCCCTGCGGAACTGTATAAGGTCCCGCAGGGCCCTGATGTCTTCCGGGAGCTGGTGCTTTCTGGCTGCACTGTCCCGATCTATTAAAAACTGCTTGATGGAAACTGCTTTCACCCATGCTGAATCATGTGCTCTGCAACTGGATTTTACTGTGCGAAACAGGAAAGCCCACTTGCAAATGATCAATGAAGGGACTGAAAGTGTGTTATCCAGCATGTGTGAAAGTGGAGAAGGTGGGCCTGCCATTAAAATAAGGCGCAGACAGAACTATTTCCTGATGCAAATACTTGTGCACAGGGCTCGTTATGGGCAGGAACGCACAGGAATGGAGTTCCGGCTGGCTTCAGAGTTGGCCACGCCCACTACAGCCAAAACCTCTGCATGCGTGGCTACAGAGGGAAGGCCTGGAGAGTGACAACCCCCCCCCCGGCAACTCCAAGGTGAGTGGGCCGGGGGGGCCTGGAAGGATCGGGGAGGCATTTAAATGCCTCCCCATGCCTTCCCCGGCCTGTCCGGGGGTGGGCTTGCCTGGGCTCCCCAGAGCCGCGGGGTGCCCGGGCAAGCCAAGGGAATGCATGGGGTGTGGCCTAATATGCTAATAAGTTGTGCTGTCAGGGGTGTGGCCTAATATGCTAATGAGTTCCTGCTGGGCTTTTTGTACAAAAAAAGCCCTGCTTGTGCAGCTGCTGGTGGCAAGCACCGGCTGGGGAGAGGCATTCCCGTCGGCTGGGGAGAGGCATTCCCACTTCCTCTCTGTCCCAGGAGGAAAGGCCTGCTGCAAAGCAACCTCCTGGCATCCCACAAGAGTTTCAGGGTGACACCCACCCCCCCCCCCGTTAGTGCTACAGTTTGGATTCATCAATTGGCCAGCGCTCGTACGGACAAACAGTGATTTGTTTTCCAGAGCGGACAGGAGTGACAGGGTGTCTGGCTCAAAACAGGTGGAAGGCCAGGAGCCACACCTATTTCTGAGCCAGCGAACAGCATCAAGGGCAGCCGCGGTCGCTTCTGGGGATCCAGAGAACTCAACCCTTGGTCAGTCCTGGCTTGAGCCACCCGAGCCGCAATGTTAGGAGAGTCAAGTAACAAATATATATACACGGCAAGAAACGTTTGTAAATTAACGCGCTCTGTTTATAACTATCATTCTATAAAGTGCATTGTGTGCTGTTATAACATCCTTGTCAGGAGCGCTCCGTCCATGAGTCTTAGCTGCACAACGTGTCTTTTGTAGGGCTGGCAATAAGCATCAACACAACTATAATTGAAAGCTTCCCCCCCCCCCCTTTCTTGAAAACTTCATGCAAGTAGAAGCGGGCTTGTCATTCTGGAAACTCCCGCTGGGGCTTGACTTTTAAAATACTGATGCAAAATGGACTGGTAGTTGTGAAATTGGATGAACTGAATGTTATTGCTATACTGTATGTACTGAATATATGTACCTGACAAGGATGTTATAACAGCACACAATGCACTTTATAGAATGATAGTTATAAACAGAACACGTTAATTTACAAACGTTTCTCACAGTGCATATTTATCTGTTACTTGACAGTCCTGGCTTGAAACGAGGGAACTATCGGCTGATCCATGGAGAGCTTGATCCAAGATGGATGACAGCGGCCTGTTTCATGGCAGCTTCTCCCCCCCCCGCCCCTCCACGCACCACGTGTCTTGTCCATCTCCATTCGCCGCAACTGGTGCTCCCACGTGCCAAGCTCTGAGTCCACCTCCTCGTCGCTGTCGTAGTCGTGCTGGTGCTCTTTGACGGTCTTCTCCCACATGATCTGCATCTCCTGCATGGCCCGCTTGTGCTTCATGATCATGTCGTACATCTGTTGCATCTGCAGGGGCGGGAGAAGCAGCCAAGCAGGCAGGCATCAGACCCCGGAGACCCGTCAGTTCAACCAGTTCTTTGCATTAAGCGATGGCGATCCTTGCCCTACCGTTGGCTTCCCTGGGAGCAGCACATCTCCCTCCGCTCCAGTCATTCCAGGTAGCTAGCGGGGTTAGTCTGGAGCAGGGGCGGCCAAACTTGCTCAGCGTAAGAGCCACACGGAATAAATGTCAGATGTTTGAGAGCCGCAAGACATGAACAAACATTACACGCACATTTTTGTTTTAAAAATATGCAAATCTGCTTTTTAAATTAACATTAAACGAGACTGCCAAAAATAAAAACAAAATAACGGTATTTATTTGTCCAATTGCTAATGATACTTATTTGTCTAAGAGAGAGAGAAAAAGAGAGAGGTGGAAAGAAAGAATGAACGAGGTGGAAAGAAAGTGAGAGAAAGAGAAACAGAGAAAGTAAATAGGTGGGAGGGAGGGAGGGGGAAAAAGTATGCCCTCCCCCCTTCGCTTCCCCAGCCGCCCTGCCAGGAGCCGCACAACATTTGTGAAAGAGCCACATGTGGCTCCCGAGCTGCAGTCTGGCCACCCCTGGTCTGGAGCAGCAACACAGAATCCGTACAGCAAATTAAAGACTAGCAAAATGTATTCCAGTCTAAGTTTTCATGAATCAGAGCTCATCAGATGAACGGATACAATTGCAGATAGTATTACTATTTATTTATTTACATTTATACCCCGCCCTCCCCACTGAAGCAGGCTCAGGGTGGCTTACAAGGCCGACTGGCATCATAAAACATTAAGACAGAAAGGGGCAACCTATATAAGATGGCAAAACTGCCCTAGTCGGTCACAATAGGGTCACTCATAATACATATGTCGCGCTCACCCTTGGACTCTGGTGCGATGCCCCCAGTGGCCATGGCGTCAGGGTTCGCGACCTGCCTCTGGTAGGGGAGACGGCCCTCGGAGCGGTAGGTTCCAAAAAGGGAGAGGGAGTGAGGGGCCTCGGACAGACAGGGGACAGGGTTAACGTCACCCTGAGAGTCCCTCTGCCAGTACGCTGTGGACTTCCTTCTCTCTTTGCCGTCTCTCGTCTCCCTCTGTATGTCAGCGCCCCTCTCCGTTCCACAGCGCACCTCCTCCTCCCCGGCCCCTTCTCCACCCTGCCTTTTATCTCCCCGCCCCGCTCCCAGGACCGCCCATCCATCCTCTGACTTGGGCCATGCCTTCCTTTATCTGCTTGGACGCTGGCAGGGCGTCTCCAGGGCGAGTGCTGACGTGCCGCCGCCACCGATCTGCGGCTGTACCCGCTGCCTCGCGCCCACTCCTGGCCTGTCGGAGAACCTGCTGCCGCCCCTCTCCTCTTCCGTGGTGCTGCCTCATGGCCCCCGGTCCTGTCTCCGGGCCCGGCCGAAGCAGCTTGATGAGGAAGGGCCCCCTGCTCCCGACTCCCTCCTCGGACCGTCAGCCTTCACCTCGTCTGGTGAGTCATGCCTAGGGGGTCTCGTGGGGTCTCTGGCGCCCGGTCTGCACGTCCCGTGACCTCCGGGGCGGGACAACATACACAACTGGTGTATATGATTGTCCTGTTTGAGTGTATGTGGGGACAAAGTTGGCATCTAGGTTTATTGCAAGGTGCTTCATTACAAAGTTGCTACATATATAAGATGGCAAAACTGTCCTAGTTGGTCACAATAGGGACATAAAACATATACAGCTGGTGTCTGGCTCCTTGACTTATTAGAGCAGGTGGCCAAAGGTGGATTATAGGGCAAACGTTACCCAGTTGGTATTGGGCATTTTGTGTGGCTTCTCACTCGAATGCTTGGCGGAAGAGCTCCGTCTTGCAGGCCCTGCGGAATTGTGATAAATACCTATGAAAGTTCTCAATGTCATGCAAAGTTGATGCTGAAACGGTTACCGTTTCTTGAGGCTTTGTTTGAACATAGTTCAAATACAAGATCTCAAATCCTCTGTTGTTTTTTCCAAGGCAATTAATTATATTTGAACACTGATGTTGGAATCTGGTTAAACTGGAGGATATTTGCACATTGTTTATAACTTTTCTTCCTGCCACATATTTTGTGAGTCTTTAAGGAGCTACTGGACTCTTGCTCTTTTCTGAAGAAGTGAGCCGTGACTCACGAAAGCTCCTCCTCTGCCACAAATGTTGCCAGTCTTTAAGGTGCCACTAGACTCTGGCTCTTTCCCTGTCCATGTTGCCTTTTGCCGTTGCATTCCAATAGATTAAAAACAGGTTGTTAGACTCGGAGCGCCAAAATTTATATAGTTTAGCTAATAAAACCTGCTCCCCCTTGAATTTTGAGATTCCCCTTACAACAGGGTTGATGACTTCGTATCTATCCTCTCTGCAGGTCCCTCAACAACGTAGAGCGTTCACCCTGGCCAGATGTAATGCTATGCCGTCCGCCATTCTATTTGGCAGATTTAACAAGGTTTCTCATCTGGCCAGATACTGCCCTTGCAGATTGAAATGTGTGGAATCTATCACTCCTGTTCTCCTGCACTGCACTAAGGATCACATACTTACATTCTCTTTTAACCAGTATGGGTGTTTGTTCTGATGCACTTAAGGTGAATAGACTTTTAAGAGATCTCAGCCCGGAGATCACAGAGAAGGTGGCTAAGTTTCTCTGCTTGGCTTTAAAGCTGCGCCAAAAGGTTCTTTTAGAATTGTATATATGAGTTTTAACTGGTTTTAAAATGTATAAATGGTACTGATAATTTATGCCAATAAAGGCTGACTTGACTTGACTCTGGCTCTTTTCTACTGCTACAGACCAAAATGCTGTTCATTTTGAGGTCTGCTCGGCAGACAATCGCCACAGCAACCGGGGGTGGTGGTCGTCTTACCTCCTGCTGCTCCTTCAGCTGTTTCTTCTGTGCATCGGAGAGCTCTGTTACGCCCACCAGGCCGACCGGCTTCCCCTTCTCGTAGCCGAGCCCCTTGAGGTCCTGGACTGAAAGAGGCCAAGTGTCAAAGGCATCCAACCCTGCCCCTCTCGAAAAGCTGTGGGATCATCTCCCCACCCCCATCGTCAACCATCTCCTTATACATTATGTTCCTAATTGTAACTTCCATAGCAAGTCAATATACCTCTCCAAGAGAATCTTTAATTTTGGGGAAAACACCTTACAAAAGTTGTTTCTTTTATGCCATAATTGACTAACATGTTTTTCTGGTGGGAAAGGAAGGATTGCAAAGTCCAGAGAACGAGAGCAGTGTTCTAACTCACAGAAGCAGGTATTTGGGACACTAAGAACATAAGAGGAGCTGCGGTGGCTCAAGTGGTTAAGACGCTGAACTGCAGGCTGTGGAAGGTCAGTAGTTCAGCAGTTCGAGACCCGAGTGTGCCGCATGACGGAGTGAGCTCCCGTCTCTAGTTCCAGCTCCTGCCAACCTAGCAGTTCGAAAGCAAGAAATTGCAAGTAGATAAATAGGTACCACTTCCGTGGGACGGTAACAGCGTTCCGTGCGCTTCGGTGTTTAGTCATGCCGGCCACATGACCACGGAAATGTCTTCAGACAGCGCTGGCTCTTCGGCTTTGAAACGGAGATGAGCACCGCAACCCTAGAGTCGGATTCGACTGGCTTTCGAACAAGGGAAACTTTACCTTTACTTTAAGAACATAAGAGCTCTGCTGGATCAGACCAGTGGTCCCTGTAGTCCAGCATCCTGTCTCATGTAGTGGCCAACCAGTTCCTCTGGAGGGCCAACAACAGGGCAGAGAGGCCGAGCCAGTTTGGTGTAGTGGTTAAGTGCACGGACTCTAATCTGGGAGAACCGGGTTTGATTCCCCACTCCTCCACTTGCACCTGGCTGGATGGCCTTGGGCAAGCCATAGCTCTGATAAGAGCTGTTCTTGAAAAAGAGCAGTTTCTATCAGAGCTCTCTCAGCCCCACCGACCTCACAGGTGTCTGTTGTGGGGAGGGGAAGGGAAAGGAGTTTGTCAGCCGCTCTGAGACACCTTTGGGTAGTGAAGGGCGGGGTATAAATCCAATCTCCTCCTCCTCCTCCTCCTTGATGTTGCCTCCTGGCTTTGGGATCCGGAGGTTTAGTGCCTCTGAACGTGGAGGTTCCCCTCAGTCACCATGGCGAGTAGCCACTGATATACTTATTCTCCATGAATGTCCTTGAATCTATCTTATCCTCTTTTAAAACTTTATTCCTGTGGCCATCACATCCTCTGCCGAGCAGAAACAAAGGAACTTTTTATTTTCAAGAAGTTGTGAAGAAAAAAATCCTCAAAGATGTCCAAACTTGAAATGCACTGGGCACAATTTGGTTTTTTTAAAAAATTCATTTCCCTGTGGTGCCTTCCTGAATATTATTCCAGCTACAAAAAGAAACAGGGCAGATGAAAAATCTCATTCACACAACGCACAGTGATCCTAGGGAACTCACTGACACTAGGTGGGATGAATGCCATCGGCTCAGAGGGTTTTAAAAGGGGGATATATTTGTGGAAAAAGTACCTTGGCAGCTGTTAACCAGGACAGCTTGATAAAACCTCCTTGTTCAGGGGCAGCATACCTCCGGCTATAACAGGACAAGGACTTTTTGATCAAAAGTAGGACTTGCCTTAGTGGGCAAGGGCAAAGATCTAATAAGTTCTTGTTCCCAGCTGAGGTCAGCCAGAGGCTTTTGGGACCTATGTCTATGCCTCTCTCAAGTACCCAAGCCGACAACAACTAGAGAAGGGATCAGACAGGCATCTGGCCTAACCCCCCAAGGCTGAAGTCTTGTGTTAGTTCTCTGCAGAGCTACTATGCACGATAGAGCCTCCATCCTGAGAGGCAGTCTACCCTGAATATCAGCTGCTAATATTCTGAAGTCGTACGTTACAGCCTCTGCTTCAGGGCTGTTTAGGCTGTGTTTTCCTCCTCCGTGGATGATGTGAGGTCTCTAATCTTTGCCTTCTCTGCCTTCCTGAAACGCTACCGCAAGCTTGCTTCTGGGGGGAGGGGGGACTTGAAAAGGCAGCCAGCAATGTGTCTTGGTGCTTGGGGGGGGGCAACAGTAGGGGGGCTTCTGGAGTTCTGGCCCCACTGCTGGACCTTCTGATGGCACCCGGGGTTTGGACACTGTGTGATACAGAGTGTTGGACCGGATGGACCACTGGCCTGATCCAACATGGCTTCTCTTATGTTCTTATGCTGGGTGCCAGCAACTGGTCAGATCCAGCAAGGCAATTCTTAAGACTTTCTAGTCCCCCAGGCGTGCAACTGACGTCTCATGAAATCCCCCGAGCCAGTGCCCCGACGCGGCCTTTGGTATTCTGCTCAACTGTGCACCTCGCAAGTAGCCAAAACCTACTGTCTCCAATGTTCCCTCTAAGCAGAGTTAGTGTGAGCTAGCCCACAGTTTTTTAGCCTCCGGCTCACAGATTTTTGTCTTAGCTCAGGAAGGAGGGCTCCAGAGCAAACTGATTGATGCAGCAGCCCAATCGCTCGCTCACAACTTTAATGTCAGTAGCTCACAAAGTAGAATTTTTGCTCACAAGACTCCACAGCTTAGAGGGAGCATGGACTGCCTCCCTCCCTAGTCACGATGCACATGTGCTGCGGAGGTTTCATCCTTCTGAATGCAGACCGTACACAATTTTCAGAGAAGACAGCTCTGGAAGCCGCAAATTTTGTGTTTGTTTGTTTACCCGATTGGGGGAAAACAAACAACCGTGGGCTGCCTTTTCAAGTCCCCCCCCTCCCTCCAGAAGCGAGCCGGAGGTGGCATGTCAGGAAAGGCAGGGGAGGCAGAGATTAGAGATTCTGCATCCTCCTTGGAGGAGGAAAACACAACCTGAAGGGCCCCGAGGCACATACAATTTCAGAGAGCCGGCTGCGGGGAGATAAGATCGTTATCTCTGGCTCTCCGGGAGTTAGCTGCTCGAGCCTGCTGAGATAAGAGGACGTTCCACGAGAATGAGGGGGGCAAGCCAGAGGCAAACCGCTTGCCTTCCCAAGTGCGGCAAACACTAACCTGATAACGGGGTGGGCGACGGGTCTTCTGATTGCGCCAGCTCTGGCGGGGGCAGGTCCACCTTCTCCTCCTCGGGGCCCCACCGGCTTTTCCGCTTCTTCTTCGACGCGGCCGCCGCCGCAGCCGCCACTGCTGGCTTGGGCAACGAGACTGCTGGTGCCACAGAGGAACACGGCCCCCCCTCGGGGGGGGCTCTGCGCTTCAGGCTGGGCTCTGGCACCAGAGGCACGCCCTCGGCATCCTCCTTGGCCTTCCGGAACTCCTCCAGCTTCTGACGGTAATACTTGTAGCCGGGGCTGTTGGGCTCGTACAAAAACCTGGGCGAGACAGCAAGAATGAGACAAAGAAGCGTCCCTTTTTTTTTTATATCGCTGGTCTTTTTGAGAGGCGGCGTGGTGTGGTGGATATGGCAGCCGACTGGGACGCTGGGTCTGAATCCCCTTTCTGCCGTGGAAGCTTGCTGGGTGACCCTGGGCCCATCACAAACTCTCAGGGATCCCAAATATACAAATTCCACTAGTAGGAAACACCATCAAGGATTGCCAGAACAATATATTAAACAATTATAAAGTTGGTGGTCACAACAAGAACATTAATGCACACTGGAACTATAATAAGGCATAAGATTTTATTTTTTTATTTTATTTAACTTTCAATTTCTATTCCGCTCTATCCCGGAGGCTCTGAGCGGTTTACATGACTTATTAATACTCCGAACTAGGGCTACATAGTAGTTGGGGAAGGTGAGTGCCTATCAGGCACCCTACCGGCTTGTTGTTCTTATTTTATTTCCTCCTTTGTAGATGAGACATAAAGTCCATGTAGTCAGTGCAACTTGACAGGAGGAGTCCACATAGTCAAAACATTTTTCCAAACAGCCTTTGCAAAGACGCCCGTTCTAGATACTTGGAAGACGCGTTTCCTTCGACTTCTTCAGTTCGCCGGCTGTGTTAAGTGGAAACTAATTTCAGCAATTTCAACAGACCACAAGGTTCGTAGTGTAAGAAGCGAATTATACACTGACTAGTAAAGGTAAAGGTTCCCTTGCTCAAAAGCCAGTCGAATCCGACTCTAGCGTTGCGGTGCTCATCTCCGTTTCAAAGCCGAAGAGCCAGCGCTGTCCGAAGACGTTTCCGTGGTCATGTGCCCGGCATGACTAAACACCAAGGCGCACGGAACACTGTTACCTTCCCACCGAAGTGGACCTATTTATCTACTTGCAATTTCTTGCTTTCGAACTGCTAGGTTGGCAGGAGCTGGAACTAGAGACGGGAGCTCACTGCGTCATGCAGCACTCGGGTCTCGAAGTGCTGAACTACTGACCTTCCACAGCCTGCAGTTCAGCGTCTTAACCACCTGAGCCACCGCAGCTCCTATACACTGACTACATGGACTTTTTGTCTTATCTTCAAAGGAGGAAACATTGTATCTTATGCCTTATTATAGTTACAGTATGCGTTGATGTTCTTGTTGTGACACCACCAACTTTATAATTGTTCAATATACTGTTTTGGCAACCTTTGATGGTGTTTTCTACTAGTGGAATTTGTATCTTTGGGACTCCTGTGACACTGGCCTTTTCCCCTTGTTGTTTGGATTTACCTCACAGGGATGGCTCTCGTGGGAAAACGGAGGAGGAGAGAACGATGTTCAAAAGTCACTTTGGGTATGAACTGGGGAGAAAAGCCAGATATAACTAAATGCATCATAAATGCATCTTTTGGCCTGCCCATTTCTGTTGCACACACTCCCATTTCTGCTGCAGTCTTTTATGGCGCAGATTAAAAATAAATGTTACCCCAGAGGTTAAACCCCTTGAATTGACTATTACTCAGATTTTAAACCTCAAACGTTCCACCAGGAAAGAGCAGACTATCCAACAGACAAGGCAACTTTCTTGGTATGAGGATATTTATGAAATAAGACACATCTACCTCATGTGCCTGAGGGCCAGAGGCCGGGTCGTTACTGCCACAGACCTGATTCCTATTTGGTGTGAGCAGCTCAGAGACAAAGGGAGAAATGGTGACCTGGTAGACGTTATATACTTGGACTTGCAAAGGGCTTTTGACAAGATCTCTCAGCAAAACTCCTCAGGCTAACAGATAAGAGGACAGTTGCAAAGGAGTCTCTGCTCTGTTGTTGGCCCTCCAGAGGAACTGGTTGGCCCCTGTGTGAGGCAGGATGCTGGACTAGAGGGACCACCGGTCTGATCCATCAGGGCTTTTTCTATGTTCTCATCAGGGAAGGCCTCAGCCTCTGTGCCGTGTTGTTGGCCCTCCAGAGGAACTGGTTGGCCCCTGTGTGAGACAGGATGCTGGACTAGAGGGACCACCGGTCTGATCCATCAGGGCTCTTCCTATGTTCTCATCAGGGAAGGCCTTAGCCTCTATGCCCTGTTGTGGGCCTCCAGAGGAACTGGTTGGCCCCTGTGTGAGGCAGGATGCTGGACTAGAGGGACTATTGGTCTGATGTTACATTCTTAAATCTCAGGCCGGGGACTTTAACCTCAAGGTGCTGTGAGTGATATAAAACAGCTCTTTTCCTCTGGAGGTCAGGAGCCAGCAGAAGTGGGAAGGGGGTGTGGCCTTATGACACACTTCCGGTGGTGTCCGGGGGTGTGGCATATGCTAATGAGTTATGCTAATGAGTTCCCCTAGCTCTTTTTCTACGAAACGACCCCTGCTCAGGAGCATTTTATTATTCATTTATTTCATTCGGTTTTTACTCCACCCCATTCCACAAGCAGGCTCTGGCGGCTTACAACAGACCAGTATACCAATTTAAAAGATTAAAACATGATATAGTAAAAATAAAAATAAAAAATTAAATCCCATTTCATAAATAAATTACAAGATGGCTGCCGATCCAATTAAAGTGCTCTCAGCAAAAAACTGGTCCATGTACGTGTGCTCGATTTTATTGTTTTTCAAAGAAGTGGCAAAGTTCCCACAATCAGTAAATAAGTGTATACCTGTAGATAGCATAGGAGATGTTAGCACGTGGGTAGGGCGGGCGGGTGGCGATCTAAAATGTGGTGTCTGCTGCCTCAACCAAAGGCCTGGCGGAACAGCTTTATTTTACAGGACCTGTGGAACGGTAGTAAATTCTGCAGGTCCCTGATCTACCTGTATTCACATTAGAGAAAGCCAGTTTGGTGCGGTGGTTAGGAGTTTGATTCCTCACTCCTCCATATGCAGGTGCTGGTGTGACCTCAGGTCAGTTACAAGTTCTCTCAGAGCTGTTCTCTCAGAAGCAGTCTTCACCTCCTGTGTGAGGCAGGATGCTGGGCTAGAGGGACCACTGGTCTGACCCAGCAGGGCTCTTCCTATGTTCCTATGTTCTCATCAGGGAAGGCCTCAGCCTCTATGCCCTGTTGTTGCCCCTCCAGAGGAACTGGTTGGCCCCTGTGTGAGGCAGGATGCTGGACTAGAGGGACCACCGGTCTGATCCAGCAGGGCTCTTTCTATGTTCTCATCAGGGAAGGCCTCAGCCTCTATGCCCTGTTGTTGCCCCTCCAGAGGAACTGGTTGGCCCCTGTGTGAGGCAGGATGCTGGACTAGAGGGACCACCGGTCTGATCCAGCAGGGCTCTTTCTATGTTCTCATCAGGGAAGGCCTCAGCCTCTATGCCCTGTTGTTGCCCCTCCAGAGGAACTGGTTGGCCCCTGTGTGAGGCAGGATGCTGGACTAGAGGGACTATTGGTCTGATGTTACATTCTTAAATCTCAGGTCGGGGACTTTAACCTCAAGGTGCTGTGTGCGATATAAAACAGCTCTTTTCTTCTGGAGGTCAGGAGCCAGCAGAAGTGGGGAGAAGGGGCTGCTTGAAATCCCGGTTGCCCATTTGTCCCCCAAGAGTTCCTAAACTGGGGAGAATTTAGCACAGAAAACGGAGCCCTCAGCCACCCTGCTGACAGAGGACACAGGGCCCCTCCCACCCACTTACCCCTTCACATAAGGGGGAGGGAGGGAGGGAGAATCGGCCAGGGCCTTCCCCCTTCCTTGTGTCGCCCCACCATGAACTCATTGTCTGGGGGGTGGGGGGAAATCCAGTGGGATAGGAATACAGTTAGGAAGTTGGCAGCCAGGGGCAGAAGAAGCCATTTCTTATTTGTGCCGCTCTTAACAAACAAAGCAAGGACCTGACAGAGAAGTGGACAAACCCCTACCTTCGGGCTCCCCGTGAAGCATCCGCACAACCAGAGAAGGACCGCCAGGGGAGATCAGAGCGTACTGAAAGGACGGCTCCTGTTTACCAAGCAGCCCTCTTTCAGAAGCCTGGAATACTGCAGGTGATACAGCCCTCCTGAAATCACCGTTATCAACAATGCTGGTTTTCCCCCCAGGACTAAAATGGGGGGGGAGGGGATGCTGCATTTTTAGACTAGGAAGCATGTTTTCTCCACTGCCTTCCATAACAACGAGCAGGCATCTGCCTGGCCCCTGCATGGGGCCCCAGTTACATCACTCTTTGCTGTTAGACTGAGACTAGATTTATACGCCGCTCTTCACTACCCGAAGGAGTCTCGGAATGGCTTACAATCTCCTTTCCCTCCCCCTCCCCACAACAGACACCCTTGTGAGGTAGGTGGGGCTGAGAGAGCTCTTTCGAGAACTGCTCGTGAGAGAACAGCTCTGAGAGAACTTGTGACTGACCCAAAGTCACACCAGCAGCTGCACGTGAAGGAGTGGGGAATCAAACCTGGTTCTCCCAGATCAGACTCCGCCCTCCTAACCACTACACCAAACTGGCTCTCGGAACAATATTTTTTTCAATTGTAGTTTTAAACCTGTGTTGTTTATTATTATTAATGGTTTCTAATTGATTTAACATTTCCGTAAGCCAATTTTTCCTGAACTGGATCTGAACAATCACATTTGAAGAGGGTTATCTTTCATAATCGGCTTACAGAAAGAACCGTTCCGCCAATTGTATTCCTGACCCGCCTTGAGTCCCGGTGAGAAAGGAGGACTGTTTGGCAGACTGTAATCCATTTCATTTTTTAAACGCTTTGGTCTGCTTTTGCTGAGATGGCTTTATAGCAGAGATCCCCCAACACGGTGCCCACTCCCCCCCACTATTAGGTAAGTTCGACTTGGCAACCCTACTTCCCTGACATTTTGTGGTGGACTCTGCTCCTGTGGCAGTCATTTCGTGGCTGCGTCTTCCATCCAGCGTCAGAATCCCAAAGGTGCCCATAGGTGGCTTTGATGACAGCTATCCTGTTGAAGCTGCTCGGATGTTTTCCCAGGATGCTATTTTTTTAAAAAAATCTTGCTTGTAGTATCACTACCCAGTCAGGATTATCTGTTCTGTTGTGTTCTATTGCCCTCTTCAGGTTTTGATGCTTGCCAGCTGCTTTGGGCATATTTTAGAGAGAAGCAGCTGAGAACTAAGTATGATCTGGCTGCTCTGTCTTGAGAAGTATGTAGAGTTAGTTTTTCAAATTTTATTTACATCCCACTTGCTGCCTGAAATGGCTTACGGAAATGTAAAATCAATTCGAAACCACTGAAGATAAACAACACTGGTTTAAAACTACAATTAAAAATAATAATAATGCGCTTACCAGGAGCCGTTTGCGTGGCCCTTTGAGAGAAGCTAGGGTGAGCAGGCCAGCATTATAATAATAATAATAACAACAATAATAATAATCGTGCGGCATTGTGTGTAGAATAGCCAGGAGACCCTGTCTGGCTGTCTGGCAGCCTGAAGTTCTAGCTCTTTTAGCATTATGCACCATTAGGTGGCAAGCTAGACTTATTTTGGGGGCTGAGAGAGCTCTGAGAGAACTTGTGACTGACCCAGGGTCACCTAGCTGGCTTCATGTGGAGGAGTGCGGAATCGAACCTGGTTCTCTAGATTACAGTCTGTTGTCTTAACCACTACACCACGCTGGCTGTCTAGCACACCGGCACGGTGCAGCGGTTAGACTAGGATCGTGGTACACGGAGACCGAGGTTCGACCCCCTGCTCTGCCATGGAAGTCTGCTGGGTTACCTTGGGCTAGTCACACTCTCAGCCTATCCCGCTGCAGATGTTGGGATGATAAAATAGAGGAGAAGAGAACGAAGTAAACTGCTTTGGGTTCCCAGTTTTGTGCAGTGGTCCCCAGTTTGCTGTAAAGAGCCAGTTTGGTGTTGTGGTTAAGTGTGCGGACTCAAATCTGGGAGAACCGGGTTTGAGTCCCCACGCCTCCACTTGCAGCTGCTGGATGACCTTGGGCAAGCCACAGTTCTGTCAGAGCTGTTCCCTCAAGGACAGTTCTGGAAAGAGCTCTCTCGGCCCCACCTGCCTCACAGGGTGTCTGTTATGGGGAGGGGAGGGGAAAGGAGATTGTAAGCCGCTCTGAGTGAAAGGCAGGGTATAAATCCAATCTCCTCTTCTTCCCATTGAGGAGAAAGGTGGGGTAGAAATCACCAAATATAATAAAATAATAATAGACTGGATCAAGGGCACCCCATGAGGTTCGGCATTGCTTTGGGGGGCTTGGAACACATCCCCCCCCCCCGGCTAACCCGGTCTGCATTCAGCTGGTGTGGAAAACTTGCTGCCAGCCGTGCCCACGTCCCGCCAGAAGGGTCTGCCTCGCCCCAATCCTAGTTTGTGACCTTTACCTGAAGGACTGGTTCTCTCGGTGGTTCTTCAAGGCCACCATTTCCACTACGGGGCCCCCATCCGCCACGAACTTGGCCAGCTTCTCGGCGCAGTCCTTGGTGTCTTCGTCCTCTGGGGGTGAAACTTTAAGCACGCTGTCAGTACGGGGCCCCCAACTCACACACCCAACAGCCACAAGCTTACTCTGGCTTTAAGAACTCCCAAGGGGATGGAATAAGGGGAAGGGGGGAAGAGGTGGGTTTTAATTTCTTTTCTTTTTTTCCTTTTGGTTCACACAAAACATAGATTTTTTCTCTCTCCCCCTGAACGGTCATAAATCTACAGTGCTGAGAACGAGGCAAAGAGAAATCGCGGCTTGGGAATGTGGAACTCATCCCGGGGTCCAGCGATAAGGCTCATCGATCTGTGCAAAGCCCGTTATAGGAATCAAAGGTAACTGTCTAGCGCTGGAGGTTGTATTTATTGGAACGACTCTCTGGGTATCGTTCAGGCAGGGAAGGAAGTATCTGACTTCCTTCTACCGGGCCCTTTTCCAAAAGGGATTCACAAATGAAAGGCAAGTTGGTCTACAGGACTACTGCTGCTCTGGAAATCCCTGATCGGTTTTGTATGTCGACAATTGCGTCGTACCCTATTTTTACTTCTCCAAGTACCCTATTTTACTTCTCCGGTCCGTTCGACTTAATGTTTTATTGATTGTTTGTGATTTGAAAAAACTTAATAAAATGTTTAAAAGGGAAAACCCTAACTGGAGCATCCCCTCTGGCTTGAACCCGAGACACAAACTCTTTCCGGCCCCACAGCCACATTATGGGCCACATTATCCATAGCAGAAGAAAATCCCTTCTCGGGCCCTTTTGACTTTTCATACCTCTCAGACGAGAGGACATTCCCTTGAATTAACATTATGCACGGCAACCGGAGTGCCGTGCAGCTCCTTATAAGGCCCCTAAAATCTAAGAGAGGACTCCTCTCGGGTGCAGGTTGGGGGGGCCTCAGCCAGCCACACAAGCTCACAACGTCCCTTGGAATGATTTCGCGCTGCCAGGACCAATGCTCCCTCTAAGCTGTGGAGTCTTGTGAGCAAAAATTCGACTTTGTGAGCTACTGGCATTAAAGTTGTGAGCGAGCAATTTGGCTGCTGCATCAATTAGTTTGCGCTGGAGCCCTCCTTCCTGAGCGGAGACAAAAATGTGTGAGCCAGAGGCTAAAGAACTGCGAGCTGGCTCACACGGACTCAGCTTAGAGGGAACACTGCTCTGGAGCCCTCCTTCCTGAGCGGAGACAAAAATGTGTGAGCCAGAGGCTAAAGAACTGCGAGCTGGCTCACACGGACTCAGCTTAGAGGGAACACTGCTCTGGAGCCCTCCTTCCTGAGCGGAGACAAAAATGTGTGAGCCAGAGGCTAAAGAACTGCGAGCTGGCTCACACGGACTCAGCTTAGAGGGAACACTGCTCTGGAGCCCTCCTTCCTGAGCGGAGACAAAAATGTGTGAGCCAGAGGCTAAAGAACTGCGAGCTGGCTCACACGGACTCAGCTTAGAGGGAACACTGGCCAGGACCGTTTGCGGGCGGTGGAGAAGCCGCTTTCCATGACTGAACTTGCTATCCCATCAGGAAGCCCTCGCAAACACACCGACTCGGAGTCCGGCGCTTTCAAGCCATGCAGGCTCTATGCAGTGCTACCATACCTGAGCATCCAGCTCACAATTCTCCAGCTGTCTGAACACACACTGAGTGCCCCTACCCACCGCCTACATCTGGCTGGGGCTTGGAGAGAGCTATCAGAGAGCTGGGATGTACGGCTGGCTCTGGACGCTTTAGGACCGGGCCCTTCGTAGCTAAGCAAGAGCAGCTCCTGCTTGCTTTGCAGCTCCCCGCATTAGGCCAAGAGCGTGTGCTGCAGGAGACGAGATGCGAGCCTTTGAGTCGCATGGAACTCTTCAGCTGAGGACCAGAAAGCCAGACTAGGCGTATCAATGTACAGAGAGGCCTAGAAGTTTGGCCTGAGCCAGGGCACACATCCCTGCCTTACCTTTTCGTGTCGTGGTCCCCTCCACGTCTTGGCCCTTCTTCCATATCTCGGCAAGTTTCTTGCGGTAGTACAGAAACTCCCTGCTGTTCTTATCGTGCAAAAACCTGCGGGGAGACAGAGGGAGAAGGAAATCGCATGTGTGAGGGAAACGGGGAGCCACCAAGCAGCATGCCGCACTAGCGGGAGGCAGCGAGAGACATGGAAGCCCAACGTTTGGCCTGCTGGGCTGACTTCCAAACGGTTCCTACGACCAATTCAGGCTACTTTCATTGCTGAAAACTTTAAACAGCATTGGCCAGAACTGGATGAAAAACTGCTTGCACCTGTTCCTGTTTTTAAATCCAGAGTGCCTACGTGCCCCAACGCACCTTGGCAATACTAGAACAGATCAAAGGAAGTCCTTCTTCACCCGAAGACTCAAACATGTGGAATTCACTGCTGCAGTTTATGAAAGATTGGACCTGTGCATCTCTCATTCTTGCACAGACATGTGGTGTGATGCTTTGGTGTGGGACCAAAGGAGACACCAGGAGAGAGGCAGGGGTCATTTCCTGCAGGAGCGCACAGGAGCGGAACTCCGGCAGTAAAGAGCCCAGGGGGTGGGGACATGCAACAAGCCCCAACCCCTGCTCCCAGCAGCCCTCAGTCAGAGCAAGAAGCTGCCAGGTAAGTTGCAGAGCCCCCCCCCCCTAAAACAGTCCAGTGGCACATTTAAGACCAAGTTGTATTCAGGTACAAGCTCTCCCTCCTCTGTACGTCCCCCCCCCCAAATAGCTAGCAATCCAAAAGAGTCCAGTGGAGCCTGAGTGGTGGCTGTTGCCTTCTGACACACCTCTGGTGATGTCAGGGTGTGTGGCATATGCTAATGAGCTATGCTAATAAGCTCCTGCACCTCTTTTTCACCGAAATGACCCCTGGTTACATGCCTATTGTTGACAACCGCTCTGCAGAAGAAAAGGCAAGTATTTTTAACATGCTGCTAAGAGCTCGAGACTCACGCAAACGCCGGGTTATCCTTGCAGTCTTCCAGCGCAACCTTCTCCAGATCGGGTCCCCCTTCGGCCACCACCCTGGCCAGCTTCTCCACCACGCGGCGGGTCTTCATGTCCTCTGGGGGTAAAACTTTAAGCACGCTGTCAGTACTGGGGCTCAAGTCACACACCCAACAGGCACATTACCTCTAAGAACCACAGCACAAGGCAAGAGTCGGTGGGGAGAAGGGGGGGGGGAAACAGGATGAAATGGTGGAACCACAACGGGATGCACATAAGCCTGACTCTTTGGCGTGGGGTGGGTGGGGAAACAGAACAGGATGATGGAAAGGCAGGAAGGATCCTGCGAGCGAGAGGCAATCTGCCGCAGAGAACCAGATTTTAAAATGCAAAGGGCAGTGGTGGCTCTCATCGTGCAAGAACCTCGTTTTTCTGCTGCAAAAGGCTATACTACCTGACTCCAATGTTCCCTCTAAGCTGTGGAGTCTTGTGAGCAAAAATTCTACTTTGTGAGCTCCTGGCATTAAGGTTGTGAGCGACCGATTTGGCAACTGCATGAATTAGTTTGCTCTGGAGCCCTCCTTCCTGAGCGGAGACAAAAATGTGTGAGCTGTAGGCTAAAAAACAGCGAGCGAGCTCACACTAACTCAGCTTAGAGGGAACATTGCCTGACTCCCCAAGCCAGTTTTTTTTAAAAGTACACTCCTCATTACCACAGAATCCAGGGGAACAGCCACTTGGCTTTCCACGGGGGGTTAACTGACACGACGCAGGCACCCCCGCCCTGCAGAAATAGACAGCTATTTCGCTGCCAGCAGAACGGAGTTCAGACGATAAAACCCTCAGAGGCACTCAGGAAAACGGCGGTTCTCACTATCTGGCGTGTGCGAAAAGGAGACCGAAGAGACTGCAGAGTAATCTGGAGCTTGAGAGCCAGTGTGGTGTATCGGTTAGCGAGTCAGGCGAGGAACTTGGGGACCCAGGTTCGGATCCTGACGCTGCCACGGAAGCTCGCTGGTTGACCTAGAAAGGTTACGTACCTGCCCATTAAGGGCGGTCGAGTACACGGAGCATAGGTTCTTGAGTTGCCCGTATTATATAAGGAGGCTCGCTGAGAGATCGTTCCTCCTTTGCTGGGTAAGATTTCTGGTTGCGCAAATAAATCTAGGCTCGATTGCCTTTTATCGGATAAGAATCTTAAGGTCGCTTATCAAGGAGCTAGGTTTTGTGTACTGATACTGCGGTTACGGAAACTGTATTTTAATCAGGCTCTAAATGTTAATCTTTTAATTATGTATATTCTGTATGTAATTTTTTAAAAATTATAACTGCTTCGGTGGGAAGGGAACAGCGTTCCGTGCGCCTTGGTGTTTAGTCATACCGGCCACATGACCACGGAAACGTCTTCGGACAGCGCTGGCTCTTCGGCTTTGAAATGGAGATGAGCACCGCAACCCTAGAGTCGGATTCGACCGGCTTTCAAGCAAGGGAACCTTTACCTTTAGTTATTTTAGCTCTTTTTAAAAAACCATTTTCATGATGTGTGTGGGGTTGGTTTTTGGTTTTTTTAAAAAATCTTAATGGTTATTTATACAGAATTAAAAGACATATAGGGGCCCAATCACATCTCATGTAAAAAATTCCAAAATCATATATACACAAGGGCAAGTGGACTTGACCTAACGCATTTCAGCCTGTTAGTCTCGAAGGCGCTGCTTTTCTACTGCAAACAAATAATAAAATAAATAATAGAACAGCGATGCAAGGTCTACTTCGTGTGCAGAAGGGGAAAGGGGAGGCAGAGGCGCGACGGACTGATTTTGGCAGCAGCTGCACGCTGACCGCCACGTCCCGCTGTGGGACCATTTGCTCGGTCGTGTCGACAATGAATGCAAACCGAATCTTCATTGGCGGCTTCTGTCTCTCCTCTGCCATCCCTTCGGCACCACCCTCGAGAGACGGCAGACGGCTGCCTGGGGCTGCCCGCTTTCCGATCCTTCTGCAGCACCCTGTGGAATCGCAAGACGCTGTTGCCGCTCAGCCCCCGGACTTACTTTTGATCTCCAGCCACTGCTCGTAGTCGTCCTCGTCCTCCTCGTCCGGCGACTGGAAGACGCTCGGGCGGTTGGTCACGGGGGTCTGCTTGGAATGGGTGTAGTTCTTCACTTGGCTCAGCATGCTACTGACGCTCAAGTTGGGGCGTTTCCCGGACAGGGTGGGCTTTTTCACAGGGCCAGAAGCCGGCGAGTTTGTTGTGGAGGCTTCAGTGGAGCTCGAGGAAGCACCTGGAAGGCAAATAAACTTATTCTGGCTTCTGTCTTTGATGTTGTAACTGGATTTCAAGGCTAAACTCCTGTGCCTTCTGCTCACCATACAATCAATCAATCAATAAACCTTTAATAGCATATACAGCATTAAATTCAGAAACCGAAGATGACACAGTCAACTAAACAACTGAAATAATTATAAAATCATGAAACGGAGTTTCCCAAATTTTTCACTCTTATCACAGCGACTAAAAAATTAGCCACTGCCACTGTAATCTCTGCTGCTGTATCATTCAATAGAATTTGACATTTTCTTTCATTAGAAAGGTGATATTTACCATGCAACCAAGAGTTTAACCATTTTTCCCTAGCAGATACATGCAACGAACAGTCTAGCAGTATGTGATCAATTGAATCAAGAGAGCTTGAACCACAGTCACATCTCCGTTCGTACTTAGGAATATTATGAAACCTACCATACAGTAGTTTTGATGGGAAGGCATTTACTCGAGCAAGGGATGCTCACCATACAAGCTACCTTTGTAAGATTAACGGTGCAGCTCTATATTGAGCTGTTCAATGTGTTATGTCCCAGATGCTAACCTAAAGGTTTGGAATCCCTCCCTTGGGGAAAGCCGGGACCAGTTAAAAGGGATTCTGGTGGCATATTGTTCTGAAATCCAGAGAGGATAGCCTACCTCTCTGGGTTGTTGTTTAATGTTCTGTAAAAGTATGGGCTTCCCCCCTCATTCCTGGACAGGCTTGGGGGGCAGAAACCTATAGCCGTGGCACAGGGGCTCTGAGGCCCCCAGTTCAAAGGTCGGAGAGTGATTAGAATGTGGAATCTGTTGCTAGCGGATGTCGTGATGGGCACAGAAATAAACAGCTTTAAAAGAGGATTAGATCGACTCATCGTACAGGATAAGTCTATCAGTGGCTACTTGCCATGGTGACTTGAGGGAAACCTCCTCATTCAGAAGCACCAATCCTTTGGATTCCAGAGCCGGGAGGCAACATGACGGGAAGGCCTTGGCCTCTATGCCACTGTTGACCATCCAGAGGAACTGGTTGGCCACTGTGTGCAACAGGATGCTGGACTAGATGGACCACTGGTCTGATCCAGCAGGGCTCTTCTTATGTCCTCATCAGGGAAGGCCTCGGACTCTATGCCGTTGTTGAGCATCCTGAGGTGTGAGACCGGATGCTGGACTAGATGGACCACTGGTCTGATCCAGCAGGGCTCTTCTTATGTCCTCATCAGGGAAGGCCTCGGCCTCTATGCCATTGTTGAGCATCCTGAGGTGTGAGACCAGATGCTGGACTAGATGGACCACTGGTCTGATCTGGTAGGGCTTTTCTTATTTTTCTGTGCCAACCCCAGCTGTGGGCACACTGGTAGGCCTTAAACCAATGTACTTGCTCACAACCTCACTTCCGGGAGAATAAGACTACTCTTTATTATTACAGAACAGACTTAGAGCTCTTATCACTAAGGAATACCAACAACATGTGTGTACAATGCTTTGCATCTGACACGCTGCATATAAATGCCCCAACCCCCATGTTTTACGTTTTACAGTTTTAGAATTCTCAAGGCAGCCCCCTCCTGATCAGTCTCATACATACTAAGCATCTGAAAACATAATTGACCCCAGAATGGTACCAAACTATACAAACTTCTCCTCCTGATCTTAGACTATTCATATGCAAGGCTCTGCAGAACTTCAAGCCCTTTCTCATCAAGTTCTTTACATTTTCAATGGATCTTGCTCTGAACAGATCATGGTCAGCTAGATCCCCCTGCTCCGATTAAAACGAGAAAATACATGAACATACTTTATAGAAGACGAAGAAGAAGAGGAGGCTGGATTTATACCCTGCCCTTCACTTGGAGCCTCAGAGCGGCTTACAATCTCCAACATGGTGCCCACCAAGGGGTCTCTAGGAAGTGGGTGTGGCCAGGTGGGCAGCTCTTATGCAGCAGAGCTTCTTGTTGAATACCAGAATATTTACTGTGCATACAGCCAAACGCCGTTACAATACAGGATAATAAAAAGAAAATAATTCTCATCGTACATAGGAGAGCTTCTTATTGGCTATGATAAGGAGGAGGAGAAGAAGAGGAAGCAGAAGAATAAGGAGAAGGAGAAGAAGAGGAGGAGATGATTGGATTTATACCCTGCCCTCCACTCGGAGTCTCAGAGCAGCTTACAAACTCCCATCCCTTTCCTCTCCCCACAATGAGCACCTTGTGAGGTAGGTGGGGCTGGGAGAGCTCTTTCGAGGACTGTTCTTGTGAGGACAGCTCTGAGAGAACCAACCCAAGGCCACCCAGCTGGCTGCAACTGGAGAAGTGGGGAATCAAACCTGGTTCTCCCAGATTGCAGTAGTGGTTAAGAACACGAACTCTAAATTGGCTGATTTTGGACCATCACTGTCAACACTGTCCCCTCAGACAGGCAGTAGCTCTCCAGCATCACAGGTGGGGTTCTTTCACAACACCCACCACCTGATCTTTTTAAGCTGGAGATGCCGGGGTTGAGGTGGGGAGAACCTTCTGCATGCCAAGCAGATTCTCCTGCCTGGAGCCACAGCTTTCCCCCTTTCTGTATGCTGTATATTCAAGGTACTTGGGAGTTTAAAGAACCCAACAAAATAAAACACCTCAATATATAAGTGATGTTGGGAGAACACCTGAACTGAGGTGCATTTTTTTATAATACCATGAAGTTAAGAGACAAAAAAGAAAAGAAGAGTACCGAAGTCATCAGAAGTCTGCAAAACCCCAAAACGTGAGGGAAAACCAGTGTGATGTAGTGTAGGGGTCCCCAATCTTTTAGAGCCTGCGGGCACCTTTGGTCTTGCAGGCCCCGGGGAACTGTAAAAGGTCCCGCAGAGCCCTGATCTCCTCCGGGAGCTCGTTCCGCCAGGTAGGAGCCGCCACTGAAAACGCCCTAGCCTCAGTTTGGGCAAACTTCACGTCTCGGGGGCCTGGGACTTCCAGGAGGTGGAGACTCCCCGATCGTAGTGCTCTTGGGGGAACATACGGGAAGAGGCAGTCCCTTAGGTAAGCCGGACCCTGGCCATTCAGGGTTTTAAAGGTAAGAACCAGCACTTTGAAGCGAATCCGGTATGCTATTGGCAGCCAGTGCATCTTGACGGTGGGGCAACAGACCTTGCATTTTATTTATATTATTATACCCGTAAGGTGAAGACAGGTGCCCCACAAAGTGTGCCGGCTGCTGGGAGCGATTTGAAAGCACCTTCGCTGCCCTGAAAAACACACACATTTAAAAAAAAAGGAAAATGGGAATGAGATTTGGGAAAGGGGAAAGTGGTGTGGTACGCTGGGGTGGACAATTAGAGTTGCCAACTCTGGACTGAGAAATTCCTGGAGATTTGGGGGCAGAACCCGGAGAGGGTGAGGTTTGGGGAGGAGAGAGACCTCAGCGGGGTATAATGCCATAGAGCATTATAGAGCAAAGCAGCCGTTTCCTCCAGTGGAACTGATGTCTGTCATCTGGAGGTCAGTTGGAATTCTGGGAGATTTTCAGGCCCCACCTGGAGGTTGGCAACCCTATGGGCATCTGCTGGCTAGTGTCCGTGACATCACCAACCTACCTTCTTGCCGCCCAGTCCCCACAGCTAGTCTGAGACTGTCACAAAAAGAGTTTCGTGGCTGTTTTCATTCCCAGTAAGCAGACATAACTTTGTTATGCATGAACACACATGCGCCGTTTTAAAATATCGATGGGGGAGGCAAGCAGCACACTCCGTGCATACAGGGAGGAGCAAATGTCTGAGATGGTAGAAACCGCAAAACCCTGAGTGCTTATCTAGACCGTACAGATCCCTTTTACCACAGAGGAGAGGCTTTTCCAGGAACAAGGAATACCTGCCATTTTCCTCTCCCTTGAGGTATTGGGACTGCCAAGAGCTTCAGCCTTAAAACTACGAAGCTACATAAAACTCAGGGCAAGATTTTCCTGGTAGTGAGGTGAAAAAGGCTTTACCCATTGATTTCTGTCTGGTACACAGTCCCTAAAGGCCTTTGCCTGTTAAAGAGGGGGAATCTATAATTGACAAGAAATTGGCACAGGGCACAAAGACAGGGAATCCTAGAGAGCCAGTGTGGTACAGGGGTCTGCCTAGCTAGGCCTGGCTTCAGGTCCCCACTCTCCATGACGCTCGTGAGGTAAACTTGGATTAGTTCCTTATCCTCAGCCTAAGCTACCTCACAGTACCGTTGTGACTCCATATGTCCCTATGCGCCAACGATGACTGACAGGCAACCATCTGTTGGCTATTCTACCGCTTAGGGAGGTCTGTCTGTCATTGACCAGAGCCTGGGCCTTTTCTGCCGTGGCGTCAACTCTGTGGGGCTGAGAGGGGCCGCTTTCTTGGAGTTCTTCAAGAGGTTCTGCAAGGCCTGCATGTTTGCCAGAGCTTTTGAGCGGGTTTGAATGGCAGACATTTTTAAGGACAGCGAGAGACTTAGGGTTGGCTATTGTTTTTTGTTTTTAACTGAAAAT